AAAACAAATAAAAGGCTGAAAAATTGATGGTAACAATACAAGACTCGTAGTAAGAAGAAGATTGCTAGATCACATCAGTAAAGTTACAAAACATAATAGTTTAGGAACATGTGTGTTTAGGAACATGAGTTAATTGCAAAATCATCGTAAGACTTCCGAAACGCTCATTAATAAACGAATAAAAGATTGAAAAATTAATGCAAACAATACGAGACTCGTAGTAAGAAGAAGATTGCTAGATCAGATCAGTAAAATTAAGAAACAATAGTTTAATCACAAATACTGTGAAGATATGGACAACGGTGGCGCTAGTGAGTTAACTATAAAATCGTATTAAGACTACCGAAACGCTCACTCATAAACGAATAAAAGGCTGAAAAATTGATGCAAACAATACAAAATTCATAGTAAGAAGAAGATTGCTAGATCACATCAGTAAAGTTACAAAACATAATAGTTTAGGAACATGTACAGTGAAGATATGGACCGTGGTGGCGCTAGTGAGTTAATTGCAAAATCATCGTAAGACTTCCGAAACGCTCATTAATAAACGAATAAAAGATTGAAAAATTAATGCAAACAATACGAGACTCGTAGTAAGAAGAAGATTGCTAGATCAGATCAGTAAAATTAAGAAACAATAGTTTAATCACAAATACTGTGAAGATATGGACAACGGTGGCGCTAGTGAGTTAACTATAAAATCGTATTAAGACTACCGAAACGCTCACTCATAAACGAATAAAAGGCTGAAAAATTGATGCAAACAATACAAAATTCATAGTAAGAAGAAGATTGCTAGATCACATCAGTAAAATTACAAAACATAATAGCTTAAGAACGTATACAGTGAAGATATGGACCGTGGTGGCGCTAGTGAGTTAGCTGCAAAATTGTCTTAAGACTACGACTAAAAGAAAATTCCTCATCGAAAAGAACCCCAGCCACAATGAAAACCTCGACATGGTCATCCCTAGTTTAACACCCTACCCAACATCTCGCACACCATCGCAATCCCTTCGAATTTCTCATTTTCTCTGACGGAGCCTGCGGTCGGATACCGTGGAGATGGCAGGAGGTATCTCGAAGCCCGGAGGAGCACGGTCGAGAGCAGCTCCTCTCCCCACGGCTGCACGGGGCACCATAAAGCCGGACGATCAACGATACCGCAATAGGCTGCCGTGGCTATCGTACGTGATATGTTTTACGAGCCGGCCAGCATACGAGCGCGGCTAAACGAGCCAGCCCGAGAGGACTCCTCTGCTCCGCGAGTCCTGGCACCGGGGGCCGCAGCATCCTTTACGACCGCCTTTCGACTCCTCCGGCCCGCTGACAATCGGACGGCAGGCTAGAGAGGGCCCGTCGTCCCGATCGAAACGGTTCTTAATCGCGATCGACCGGCACGAAAAAACACGCGTCCGGGCGTTTACGGTCGTGCCACGGCTCGCTGCCGGGGGATCGTGCTCGTTTGCTGGCCTGGTACTAAATAATTCATCGGCCTGCCGCTGCTTTTGGTCAGCCAAGAGCGGGGTGGGGCTGTTTTCTGCGCTTGGACGCATCCCGTCGCGTTTCTGCGATTCCTCGAGGACGCCAGTAGGCGACGAGGCAGTGTTATAGAAAACTATAACCTGACAATTTCCCAATTTACGTCCTATCTAATCGCCTCTAAGTTCTAAATATACCTCTTACAGGAAGATGATCCAAAATCGAAGACCAGTGCAACGAGGATCTCGAAATGGGCCATTAAAGAACCGTATAGTCAAAGGAAAAACTGTGATCGGCTACAGGGAATACCGATAGATAGCTAGCATAAGTCGATTCTCGATCAGGAAATTGCAAGGCAGGCTATTGGAGGCGCTGGAACAGCAGGCAGAATTGGCAGAGATCCAGCGGTCTCGATCGATGGCCGAGGCTCAGGGGCGGCGGTGGCGGCTCGGCAAGGATAGCAATAAAATAAATTGGCTTTATGCCCGATTCTTATCAATGAAATATGCACTTTCTCCGAACAATAGACATATTATGTAATGCGAAATATATTCAGTTTCCTCGTGTTGCACGCTTTCCTCGATACGCCGCGATAATGGACGATCGTTATTCAAAATTCTATTCCCCGACGCGTTAAGTGGCGCATGATTTACCGCCTTTCCCGTCCCGCCGGCCTTTATTCACCTACTCGCAACACTGCGTGAACACCGTTTTAATGCCGACTTCGATACGATCGAAAATTCGAGCGAGAATTCGCCGCGAGAGAAAGGGCGACACCTGTTTTCCGCTCGCCGTTATTCATCGCCACGCGGGGACAACCTACGCGCCCGTTCGTCAACATAATCGCTTGCGATTAGCCGGTTACACCCGTCGAGAAATCGCGAGATAATTGACTAATCAGCAAAAGGTACCATTTTAACGCGTTTTCCAAAATTTTTGTGACAATTGCAAGTTTGGAGAAGGAGATATTTTTAATTTCGACACAACCTGTACATAATTTTACACAGTATCTTTCTTTATCGTGTCACATAGCTCCATTCTTCATCTGCAAAACCAAATTTGGTTCGTCATCGTACGATTTTTTGTTTTCGAGATACAAAGATATAAGCAGCAGATGTGATAAATAGATTAACTGTATAGGTTATTTCAAAATTAAATATGACACATGTATGCTATCCTTTTGTCTGGGAGTGTACTCCTGTTTAATTATGCGATCCATATTTGACAACTTCAGATGCACCAGTTATTCCAATATACATTCGTCTATACTGCACCTTTAGCGCCCACGAATAAGCGTTTGGGCAGCCGTAGTGCGACTCTCCACTTAACTCACTAGCGCCACCACGGCCCGTATCTACGACAAGGTGCTTACTGCACATGCCACATCATTTACACAACATTGTTGGCTCAAATATTTTAGCAGGCATCATGAAAGGCTTAATCTCGTTTTCATGAGCTGCTTCAGTTCCCAATCTTATTTTTCCCAGATAAATAAGCTTCGATTAATGCACACGATGAACTTAAAATGTTTTCAAGATTAATATCTTCTCATGACGGGTTATATACTGTGAGGAAGTTTCTCGATCAGAAGACGCGTAGAAATTCGTGATACCTCGGGGAAGCTCCGAGGTTTCACCCTGAAGAATGAACACGAAGGACTGGTGACACGAGCATGATAATCTCGAGGGATATTAACGACGCCGTTAAAGTCGATGAGCTTTCTAACGATCGAGCGATCGTGGCCGGTTCGAAAAATCGGACGAATTTCACCGGCTTCTCCGGCGTCTCTGATGACGGGGCCTCGTCGAGATTCCCGATAAGATTCGTCGACTACGAGGGTAATTGAATTATCGGTAATTACCTCGGACGGCGATTTTTCAGCCGGACGCCGATTAATTAAAAAGCAGTGTCGCGACCCGGCTTAATTAATAACCGAGTGTCACGAGTTCGTCCAACCGGGGGTCCCGGTCGTCGGCTAGGGAAATTCGTAGGCGAGCGAACCTGACGAGCCGATTTTGCACCTCCGACCGTGGCGCAAATTATGGTGGGCGTGTCGTCGATGTCACGGCCGTGGAAAATTATAATTATTACGGAAACCCGTCGTCGATCACATGCGATACACGCTGGAAAGCTCTGCGGACCGAGCGGATTAATGAATCGCCGTTATTATTCCACGGTGATTGCCGGGAAAAGCGGTCACCGCGATAAATCGTCGATTTTCGAGCGTAACGTACGAAAGGAAGGTTAATGGCGGCCTGGGAGAAGTGTACCGTGGTTTTGCAACGATTCCGCTTTTTCGACGGTGCGGTGTTTATGGGTCGAGGCACAAAATTGGAGTAGCCGTTGCACGCGATCTATGAAAGTTCTGTTAGGCGTATACTAAGCGGTACCGTGATTAGGAAATAGGATTCTACGCGTAAAAATACGTAGGAATGGAAGAGCAACATTTTTTCGTCCGACGTTCCATTTTCGAGAAACTCGAATTTCAAATTTCGTGGCTGCGTCCATTTTTATTTAACGATGTGGATTTCACTGTAGATTAACTGTATTTATATTTGCACGTATTTCTAGCGTCTATAAGATAGGTAGCATGATAGAATGGCGTCAGATACTGTGCGTGTAACGAAATCCGTAAATTCAAATTTCCCGCGCACCCACGAAATTTCGAACTCGATTTTCTCGAAAACGGGACGTCGAACGAGAAAATTTTATTCTTCATTTTTTACTTGCTTTTACGTGGAGAGTCATACACGGCCTGTTTGGAGGTAGGTTTGTGTCGATGTTGAGGTAAGAGATGTCGAAACAGGCTAACATTATGATAGTTACGAATACACGTGTCCTTATGTCCTTAAAAATGTCTCTGAAGTGTCCTTAAATGCGTCGACTAGGCGAATAATCTTTCTTTCAAGGACACCTAGTCCTGCTCTCAAGACCTGTCACGCGTGATGTCAGTAGAGTCATAAATAACGACCGAGATAGGTAACTCGGGGAAGAAAGGGAGCAAATGGTAGGTATATACGTAACTGTTAGAGGAACGAGTGTCAGGTCATCTTTGCCTGAGTGGCATTCCGAGTGAAACCTTAGAACGCTTCTTAACACTAGAATTACCGACTTGTAGTAGCTATATACACCATATAGGGATAATAGTAATTAACACTTTGCTGACGAGTACATTTAGCAGACATAGAATATACGGGGTACAGTATGTATTGAAAATAGATCGTAGACCGGTGATTATGAAAGTGGCCTAAGTCGTATTACGTGACTCGCGTATCTCTTACTTCGAAATATTAAACATATTGCAAATTGAAAAATTAAATAGCAAGATTACTTCGACTATTTCGATAGGCTCAGGGTCAAAGGATTTCGACAGTCATACTTTGACAGTCATGATACAACAAATTTCAACCAGATCAATAATTCTAGTGTCAAGAAGGCGTAATAGTTACTCAGGAACATTATGAAATATTCCAAAATGAAAAAAGAAAACTGGAAGCAGGGATCTGTATAATTACCTGGGCAAACGAGCGAGGTAGAGTAGAAACGACGACAGGTCTTTGACAGAGATTGCGTCTCTCCTGGACGGCTCGTCCTCGAACTCGAGAACGGGTCTGCCGTGGGCATCCGTGCAGCCTGCAACACAGAAGTTCGAAAAATTAATTACCCCCGAGATAGTTCGCGTAGGCCCGTGCAACGCGTTGCGGGGCACGACGACGTAGTTGGAGCGATCGGCCGAATATATTTCGTCCATCGACAGGCAACGCCCCCATTCCCCCACCACGGCTCCGCTGCGCCGAGCGACGCGCCGCGACGCGGCCATCAGCCGAAGCCAGGAGGAAACGCAGGACCCGCGAGCCGGGACTCACGAACCGATCGATACCGCATTAACGGCGTAATAAAAGTCGGTAACAGCATTTGATTACAGAGCGTGATCCGATTCGGCCTGGTACCGAGCTCGATCGTAATCTTTAGTCCGGCGTATAAGTTATTAAATGATCGGCTTTTAGCCGTGCCTATCTCGCTCAGTCACCGGAGTAGGTCATCTTCCGGTAAAATCTTCGGCCCGGCCGATCGGCGCGCCGTGTGTGCCCGATGAAAATGTAATAACCAAACACGGCCACGTAGATCCACCGCGGGGATAACCGGCGTCAGCTGAAATAGGGGACATCGTAAAATCTTATTGTCTTAATCGTGACCCGCGACGCAGCAATCGGATGTCGATGCCGCCGCGCTATCGCGCAGCATCGGCTCGTTCGATTGACGCACGACCGATGTTGGCCCGCGATCTTGTCGTTGTTCATCGATTAGACGATATACGACCGATACGATCTCCTCATACTGCTGGATATACCCGGATTTATCGCAGTTCGCTTTGACTTTCGTTAACTTAACCACCTGCGGTAAAAAGACGTGTCACGCACGTCGAGATGCTTCTGTTACCGGAACATCAGCAACGTGTTACACACGTCGTCAAGCGATTGTTGCAGAAAGAAAAATGACGTGCATCGCACGTCAACTGTTAATGAAATTCTTTACCGAGGCACAGCTTTTGCTTGCATTTCATCGTGTGAAGTTATCAGTATTGACCCTAGACTGTAAAATGGAAAGTGATAGTGAAGTCAGTGATATTATTTGCGACCCGAAGTGATTTGCACTCGACTGTTCTGGCACGCGCAATCGTGAATTTCTTTGCACCGCGAGTGGTTAAAGATGGTTGAGAATTGGGCATGGGGGTGGAGCAATCTGTAGAGGCGTTTTAATGTCGGGGTGACAGGTTAGCTCATTTTTGAGTATATTTGTGAGGCTTGAAAAGAATTGGGGTTAGGTTAGGGTGTTAACGTAAATGGAGGGTGCTTAGGAAATAGATGTGAATTTAATACGTGCAGGTTAGGTCATTTTGGAATATATTCGTGTCTTGGGAAGGATTACAGTTCTGATATTCGGGTGTTCGCATATATGAGGAGAGTTTTGGAAATGAATGTCAATATTTCGGAGGATATATATGCACGGGACTCGTGCATGGCTTATTCTTCAAGTTATGTTTTGGAAATTATGTTTGATAAGAATTTGATTATTTTTTCGTGATAAAGTTTCGCGAAGGAGAATTGAGTCCTACCTTAAAGATGACCACTGGCTAACTATTACTCATAAATTTTCAAATATACGTGTTTTATCAATTTCAATGGTCTCACTTACAGATCGACGATAAATTATTGATAAATTTCTGGGGGGTCAAATTCGTATCGTGAAAAATTCTACTGGAGGATCTTCGCACTTCCGGTTTCGAGGTCTGGAGGCCTGACTGACATGCGCAATCACGTGCTTCCGACACGTGCCGTTGCGAGGCAATGAACGTAAGCGCAACAGCTTGAAATCTGGCCTAAGGCGATCGCTCAGGGCGTTAATGATAATTCATAGTGACGTAAGTTATACAGGCGATTACGTGGCCACGCGATGATAATAGCCAAGGTCAGTGCGAATTCTCGACACTTAACACTATTTGCTACCGTGTGACGTTCGAATAATAGTTTTCTTAACCCCACAAAATGACCCTTAATGTATACACACCTGGGACCACTCCTCACATCTTGAAAGTATACCACGTAAAATGAAAATTCACGAGAATATCAACACTTTGACTGCCATGCACATTTTATATGACACGCTCAGGAGACCACGATAACATTTCTATTATACTTACGACAAAATGATGAATTACTAAATAATATAGCAAGAACAAGAAATGGTGGAATCAATGTACTAATTACCCCCTAGAAATATTGGGTTGGCAACTAAGTGATTGCGGATTTTGTCAATAGATGGCTTTTGCACGTTTTTTTGTTTTGTCAACGTGTTCAAGGCACCTAATTTATATCGTTTTCTTGTTGCTTGGACTTCCGTCTTTAATTTAGTTGAAAAATTGTATCTATTAGTTATTTAGTTTCGTTTTTATCCGAATTTAAAAATGGAAGAACAAGACGCGCATTTCGGACATATTTTACTATTTTATTTCCGAAAAGGCAAGAATGCATCGCAAGCACACAAGAAGTTACGTGCAGTAAATAGGAATGAAGCCTTGAAAGAAAGACAGTGTCAAAATTGGTTTGCTAAATTTCCTTCTGGTGATTTTTCACTGAAAAATGCGCAACACTCTGGCCGCCCAGTTGAAGTTGATGAAGATGAAGGTGAGATTGCAGAGAAGCTCAATGTATCGCATACATGCATTAAAAAAAACTGAAAACGGCTTGGCTATGTCAAGAAACTCGATCAGTTTAAGGAAATTCATTTGACGTAACGCATTAGCATCTGCGATTCGCTTCTGAAACGCAACGAAATTTCTGAAACGACTGATAACTGACGACGAAAAGTGGATACTCTATAACAACGTTAATCGGAAAAGATCGTAGGTGATGCAAGAAGAACCAGCCCAGACGACACCAAAATCTGAGATTCGCTAAGAAATTTTGTATTTTCCTTCTCATTTAAAATCCGTAATCATTTAATTGCCAAACTAATATTTAAATCCTGCTTCAAAACTTGTATACCACTAGTGATTGCACACAAATAAGTCCCGCGTGAAAGGCGTCCCAAGTGTACGAGCACGCAGCAACTGTTCACATCCACCGACACACACGTTCACCTTCGGAATTGCCATAATTCTCGGAGCCCCGGCGTCACCCATGACACCCGTGTCGCCGAATCTTCCTTATTGCCCAAGATCACGAAACGAATTTCCAAGAACGCCGCGTTTGTCCGCGCGAAACGACCGACTAAGTACCGGCTTCTGCTTCTGCGGACGCTCACGTTCTTCCGGCCATTTCACCGGAAGTCGCGCGCGCCTCTGGCGGCCTGCGCGAGAGTCCAGGCGTTACTCGTGACAGCGAGGACGCAGGGTCCCTCTAGCGGCCGCCTTAACGTCTTCATCTCGCGGTGAAACCGCTCGTAGAAGGTAATCGATCGGTTATGGTAATCCGAGCGGCTGGATCGTTAAAAAAAGGTCGCGGCGAGCAGCGTGATCCTGCATTTCCTTGCTTCGAGAAATCACGCTGGTCGGAGCAGCGTTCTCGATGTTTACGACACGATTAGCCGTGCCCGTTCTCTACCCCGGTCGCTTCCCGATTTTCTATGCAGCCTTCGGCGACTGTTCACGTGTTTCCGTGGAAACGTGCGAGCGTTACGAATGGTCAAACGATCGGGGGGATTTTGTTCGGAGAAAGTTATCGAAGGGGTGCCTTCTGGGATCCAGGGAATCCAACTAACGACGGGGACGAATTTTTATGACGTTATTGGTACCAGGAGAATGGTGAACGAGTAGTTTTTGAACGTATTTGGGAGGTGACTAATTGTGAGGATTGGTGTTTGTTGAAAATAAGATATACCTTAATGTATATACAAAAATTAATCTCTCAAGAGAAATAAATATATTTTCAAACTATGTGCCCAAGAGGTTCCTGGAATGCATAAAGTGTTAGATAAGATTTAGCTGCAATCGCATACCCTTTTCTTCACTCTAGTTTTGACTCTCTACACGAACAGTTAGAGTACTTAAGATATATCTTCCTTAGGATAGAATGAAGATAATTACAAAATACAGATAGTCACTTCTTTTACCCATAATCCAAATAGTGCTAGATATTATACACCGTCATGAACCAATTTCGAAGATTCAAATAAGTGAATAAAATTCTGCAGTGCAACATGAACTGTCAAATTCCGAAAAACTGGTAAATTCATTAAAATAAAACAATAAATATTACGTTCTTCACTGCTAACTAATATTATGAACAAATGATGAAATATCGAAAAATAAAGATTCGTCGTTTCCCCCTAAATGAACATCTCAACTCGGAATTCTTTGTTCCTATCAAACCAAAAATATATAGCACAATGCACACTCTCCCATACGATACCTCAACGGCAAATGGAACCAAATTCGAATCCAAGAAAAAAAAAGGAAGTCCTTTCCAAAGCCCACGAACCCTCGGTCTCTCGACTGCCAGGTACCCAGGTACCCCCGCGAAATGACTTCATCGGCCGCTTTCGATTCCCACGAAACGCGATAAAATCCCGTTCCGCCCCTCCCAAAACAATCGGTCAACGGAGCAGAGTTTCCCCGCCGCTTCCCCAGGCCTAACGAAATTCCAGCGCTTTCTACCTGGCCCCCGACGCCGCGTCCCGTGGCTCGAGTTACAATAATAACCGTTCCACGGCGGAGGCGCATATATCCTGAGCGCGCATTCCGCCTCTACAAATCGTCGCTCGTCCATCATCATCGCATTACCCCCTCGATAAAGATTGAACGAACCGGGTCCGAGCGCTCGGCTTTTAGCGTAAATCAAGCGTACTTACGCTCACGACGCGCGTCCACCGCCGCCGCGCGGCAATCCTCTTCATCCTGCTATCCTTCCCGCGCGAGAACAGGACAAAGAACTACCAACAAGAAGAAGACTCGAGCGAACCAAAAGAGGAAGAAGAAGAAGGAGAAAAGGAAGAAGAAGAAGCGTAAGAAGATGGCGGTGCAAAAAGGGGGTGGCACGGGTGGCAGGGGGGCTCGCGAGTAGCCGCGAGGCGGGCGCTGCGTGCCGCCGCGACTCGTGAGAAAGATGAACGATAGTCGGATGGATACGTCAATA